CTTTGCATCTGTCTACCTTGTCTAGTCCTTAGGGGTGGGCAAAATATAGCCTGTGGGCCACAACTGGCCCACCAACTGACTGGATCTGGCCTGCGGGCAGATATCCGCTGATTGATTGGACGTGGCCTGCAGCTGCCCCCATGGTGCTCTGCATGGGACTGAGCCCCACACTCTCCCACCCACACCTGCTGGCAACGGCCCAAGCCAGTAAACTCAGCATCCCAGCAGGACTGCTCCCAGTGCAGCTGCAGTCACCCAGGTGCTGCTCGGTTCCCCCCACCTCCAGTCGCTCCTCCTCCTCCTGCCCCTGCTGCACCACTCCAGGTATGGGGAAAGCTGTTGCTAGGCAACTCCTACCCCAGAGAAGAGGGTTCCACCTCCTACCTGCCTTCTCCCCACCCTACCTGCCTACCCGTACCCACACCTATCCCCAGGGCCACCCCTATGGGGGGGTAATTGGGGTGCCTGCCCTGTGCCCCATGGAGCTGGGCAGAGCAGCCACAGCAACTTTGTGCTGCTGCAACTTTAAGTCCAGCCGCTCACTACCCCCACCCCTCCCTCCCCACCCTGCCAGCTTCTTTGGGTCCAGGGCAGGTGGGATCAGAACGGGGGCTTTATTTTAAAATATTACACATTTGCCTCTATATAAACTACTAAAAAAGAAAAAAAATCAGGACAAACATTTGAAAAAATAAAATTAAAATACCTTATAGATGCTTGATTTTTAGTATATGATTTTTTATCTATAATTCGTTAAAACGATATCTTCTAAAAGATTTTGTGTGTGGCCCTCAACAGCTCACCAGAACTCATTAACTGGCTGTCCAGCCGAAATAATTGCCCACCCCTGCACTACCTGCTTCTAATTTCAGCAATAAATGAGGCAGGGGTTCCCCGAAGACTCCTTCAATCCTAAAAACCCTAATTCAGCCCTGAGCAAGCCCATTCCGTGCAGTGAATGAGCAAAAGGTCTTATGGAAAAAACAATATACAGTTGAGTAACTGAGAACTCAAATTGATCACAGGACTCGAATGTCTCAGGAAGGTTTCACTCAAGGGGGGCAAATTTAGGTTGTATCTACAACCATAATTCTGGTATCTCCTAACTTTTAAGTTTTACTTTGCATTCTTCTTTTATATGATATTTTTGTTGGAATTTCCTTTTTTTTTTTTTTTAAAAAAAAAAGAACCCCACAAATTCCCTGTGAAATGATGCTGGCATCTCCTTGGTTTGTGGGCAAAGTTGGAATCTTTGATTCACCATGATGACTTCTCTCTTGAGCTAATAGAGGACTTGGCTGGCTAGTGGAGTCAGCTGTCATAGTCCATATAAAGCAGCTGTAGAGGTGGAAGAGACTCATACTCTTCCAAAGGGTTTGCCAGGTACTTGTTGATAGCAAGGTATTTTTGAGATTTGGATCTTGAGTGCAGTCCCAGATTCTGGAGGAGAGTACACTTTGGTGGTCTAAGATTCCTCTATTCCTGGGCTCCTCATGCCTGATTCTTTCTCACCTGTGTTCTATCTTGCCTCCACCTTTTCCCTAGCCATAACCATGTCCCAGTCTACTCCCTTAGCCAGTCCCTGCTTCTGTCAACTTCCAAATTTCTTCTTCTAATCTAGTTATTCATCCTATTCTAGTATCTCCACTTTGGCTCATTCAAATTCTGTCCCCCATTGCTTCCCATTTCCCAACCACCTGTTTCTATGCTCCTTAACCATCCATTCCTAGTTTATGTTTCATAGATTCATAGATTGTAAGGGGCTAGAAGTGACTTCACAAGGTCATCGGGTCCAGGCCCCCTGCACTAGGCAGGAAAGACAACTGGGGCCAGGTGACCGCAGCAAGGTGACCCCTACCCCATGTTTCTTGTCCCAATCACCATGGATCAGGAATGGGGGATCGCTGGGTAAACGAGATGTTAGCAAAGCTGCTGACTTGCCATGCTTACCAAGATTTCAGCACTTGCCTCTCCTCCACTGGAACCAGGCTTTGATAATTTCCTACTTCTTTTGATTTAAAATATTTCAAATGCTTTTTGAAATATTTAGCAAGCGTGGCTGAAGTATGAACCCCAAATACCCACAAAACCCCGCAATTATAAGCGCTAATATGTAATTGTAAGTTTCAGGTCTAGAACATATACAGGTGAGGTATTTCAGCCCAAAGATGGTCTTTGGTAAGTGTAACAAGGAACCAATATTTTTGATGGACCATATTGTAAACTCTCATTGTAAACTCTGATCCTTGGAATCTACTACCAATCAAACGGAGACCGCAGAATAAGAAGTTCTGAAACCTAAGGATTAAGTGAATAATGCTTCATATCTTGTAAACCAGCCTTATCTGAAAGTGCCAGATTAGCCACAAATGGTGTATTGCTAACGTGTCCTCTCTAGGAGGTGCATGTGCTCCTTAAACTAAAAAATTGGAACTGGATGAGTTTAGCACAGATTTTCAAGGCAAGAACAGTCCAATCCTTTCCCAGCACAGCAGGGTTGAAAGTTTGGATCCACTGAAAATAAAGGGAACTATATCATTGACCTTGACGAAGCTAGGATTTCAGGATTTACAGGTATTTGCAGGGCATGTTTTGTTCATGTATTTTCTGACTCAGCTCAGACAAACTAGAAGGACAGTTGCCAGCTTTACCTGACTGTCTGGATGGCCGTCTTTTGAAGAAGAAGGAGGTTTTGTATAGGAGCACTAGCAGCAGCAGCAAAAGCTTCTACACAGACAACTTCCCCTCTCTCAGAGGGGCAGGACTAGAAAAGCTCTTCAGAGGGTTAGCCTCAAATGAAGCACACTGCCAGGTAAGAATTGAAACTCAGACTACTTTCATCTGGAGTGTTTATGAAAAACAAAAAAAATAGGGAAAGGCAAAGTCCATCTAAGCTAGAATGGCTGGGGCACAGCAGCTTCTGTGGGATGTGGACAATATCATAGGAACCTTTGGTTCCCCAGCCCAAATAACCACATATCAATTTACAGCTAGGTGAACTGAAGGAAGACTTTAACATGGCTCTGGAAGTGAGGCTTTGAACTCACACCTTCTGTAGTGGAGAAGGACACCTTCTCCAGTCTGCCATCATATGCTGGCATAAGTGAACTTGGTCTATGGATATTGTCTTTAAAAACATACACTAACACTGGCTTTTTCTGCTCTGTTTTAAGTATAATAATTTTGCACAGAATTTCTAAGGATGACTATAGGTTGATTTTTTAATATGCTTCCACAACCTCAGTAATAGAAAACAAACCTACTCTTAAAATAGTACATATCAATTCTAAGAGTAAAGGTTTCCTGTAAAACAGCAAGGAATGCCTCAAAGGATGTTGAAGGGGTAATGCTCAGTGTGACAGACCACATAAGCCACATTTATTCATTAATACATTCCACATATTCTAGCTCCATAATATGTAGCTTGATGACCTCACCATATGTTTACTTACATGTCCAAAACATATTATAACCATGGTAAAAAAAATTTTTATAGACCTGTAAGCTCTTTAGGAGCAGGGATCTTGACAGCGTACACCTACCTTACTGTCTGCCAAAACAACAACACTGATCATTACATTAATGATCAGTGTCAATTCTGTCATTTCAGATAGAAGTTCCTGTCTTAGGACAGGTTTTGGTTTATGTCAATATGATGCAAATGGCACAGCAGAAAATTATTCCCCCTTTAGATGTAATGATGATAAAAGCTTTAACACAAATTTGATAAAGCTAAAGCAAACCTTTTCTTTTGCAGCGAGTAAATCATATAATTAGAAATTCAGATTAATATGTTGGGTTTTCAAAGTACTGCTAAATAAAAAAAGCAAAATTCTTTACTTCTGGATTTCAGCAGAGCGGAAGCAGTATTAAAAGCTAACATGTTATGTTCCTGTAGAATCTCATTATTTTGTACAAATGAATGACTGGAACACGTGTTGTGGATTACTAAATTTGGCAGGTTATCAGGGAAACGGAACAAATTTAACAAAACAAAAGCAGCTCTTTCCCATAACATAACTTTCAAATTGATTTTGACAATTTTTCATTCACGATTATTTTGTGCATGATAATCCGTATTTTTAGGAAATATTGATAATATTGCAAACTAATAGAGCTTTAGTAATATGACACATTATTACAATACCATGCTGTTATAGTCTGGAAGACTTTGGAGATTATTGCCATATGTGTGTATGTGATTTATAGAATAGATAGATGGCTGACATATCAGTGAAATCCCACCAGACATGCATATTGGTATAAAGTGACACCAATATATTTATATATTTCCTAACTCTTTGTGAGATCTAGTTTCACTTTCCATTCGATATTTCTTTACCTCCTGCTCACAACCCGGCTGAGCAGGTGTAATTTGACTTGAAACAGAATTCTGTGGCAGTATTCCAAACATGTGAAGTCATACTGAAGGCAGGTCTGCTCCAACAACAAAGCCAAAATTAAAACAAACAAAACCACTACAATACAATTGCTGGAAACATTGCAAACTCTTAGGTACTTACATAATAGTTATTTTAAATGTCACTTAGTCTCTGGTGTAAAAATATGGGCTGACTGTCAGGGATACACCTTATATTTGCTGTCAACACAGTCCAACATTTGAAACACTCGATACTTATAGAGAGGTCTCAGTTCCAGTTGTTGCTATAGCTCCTCATTTATGCCACTAGATGGCAGTTCACCATTTATAAACAATGAATATTATTAGCTGCTGGTTACTGGCTGTGACTAGCAATGCTGTGGCAGGTAATATTACTACAGTTATAGGTCTTTGTGGGACACAGACTGGAAACCATGAGTAGAAATGACTGTATGTTAGTGTTCTATGTCAAGAATATATACAAATGATGGAGACATGGATTTACATTATTCAAGTGAAAAAATTAATTTCTGCCTATACCTTCATGTAAAATGTATGCTAAGGCAAATGCACTGAAAGTGTAGCCCAACCCACATGAAAATTCTTTCATCTTACTCACCCAGAATTTTACTAGGAAGAAGGCATTTTGAGGCCCTTTTCCAAACAGTTCCTTTAAACCTCCCTTCTTTTCAGGGAATTTGTCATAAATTTGACGAATGTCCACCGATTCAAGCAATGGGTCGCTGTAAGAATGGTTGGCATGTCCAATGTGCACGAAGAGGTGTTTGTTGTACTGTAAAAAAGAAACAGAAAAATCACTGTTGTAGAGGAAGGAGAGAGAGATTAAAGCCCAAACAATGTGTGTTGGAGAAAGGGTTTGTTGGTGGATTAGAAAAACCTGCCTTTTTATCTGTCAGACCAGGCTTTCTTTGCAACATGATTCCTATGAAGCAGCTCTGATGATTTATGCACAACCCCCTCCTGTAAACCTTCAAAATATAGTTAACTTGCTAAATCCAATTACCTAAGACAAGGAATGTACTTATTTTTAATTCCTAGAATCATAGAAATTAGAAGAAGCTAATATGTTAGCTAATCTATGCCTCTGTCAGTGTCACTCCTTATCATAGATTCCCTAATGCTTTGTACAGCCACTTTTAAATGACCCACACTTCCACCATTTCCTGTGGGAGCTAGTTTCACAGGCTAATTTCACTTGATATCACCTCACTGTTTCCCTTTTCTCACCTTACTATACCAAGTTATAGCCACTGAAGCAAACATCAGCAATTCTTCTAAATTCCCCTATGGTGGTCAATGGCAAAACTGCCACTGACCATAATGAAACTAGAATTTGAATGCTTATACTTGCCCACCTTCCCTTCCTCCTTTGCATTTATCAGAATCTAAAGCACAATTTAAAATCCCAAAATTGAAAAGAAAAGGACAGGATCCTGAATGCTAATCCCCTTTGTGAAAACATTGAGCAAATTCAGTTAAAAGGAAACCAACGTGGAGTCACAGAATAGTAGAACGCTCTGTAATAGTGAATAGCCCCTGTATGCAAGGTGACCATTACTTTCTGAGAATCACAAAATGGTGTTGAAAACCCAAAGCGGACATCTTTCAAGCTGTTTTGCTTATAATATACCTACCGCTAGAACAAATCAAATTGACAGTTTCATACCTGAATAAACTGAACATTCAGCCAAACCATTCAAATGACTTGACTACACTTTTCTCTAACAGGTGTCCAAAACCCAGAGGAACAGAAAACCGACTGAGATTTCTATCAACTGTATTTGGAAATTAAACTAGAAATGTATTTAAAATCATCTAACCCAGTGAAATCTGAATTTTGAACCAAAGAACATATTCATCTGTGACCATGGCCAAATATAAGAAGATATGTTCCAGTTTCTTTCCAAGGTATTTTTATTTGTAGAAAGGAAAAAAAGCTTAACACTTCAGGCTTGAACAGACCTAAGTTCACTTCATAAAACATGTGAACACCAGTTACACAGATTTTCCTTGGAGTACTTATTCAAAACAACCCCATCCCAATTTCCTATGTGTGCAAGTAAAAACTTTTCCAATTTTTGCCTAGCTGCAATGGGCCCAGAGGGAACACAGCTGGTCAAAGTAGGCTGTTTCTACTCTAAAGAGTAGAACAGAAGAATAAGCAAGTGAATGGAGAGACTAAATGAATGAATGAATGAATGTTTAACAGTAAAGCCTTACCAAGAGCAGGTCTAACTTGCATACTAATAATCATTTACACAAGAATTATAGTAATTATCATACTATTCAGTAACAATGAGAGATTATCACAACAGCATCTGTGCAGGTAGATTTGACATTTTACGTGAGTTGGTAGCTGCAGAAAACATGCCCTTCTTGTGCACTTAAAATACATTTTTAACATAATAGCACATAATAGCACATTGGAAGAAAAGGCACTAGCCAACATGAGGAAGTGCCAGGGCTCCAACTTTTCTCTGATGACACTGGAGGCATTTAGTTAGATTGCAATACTGTGATGAAATGACCTGCAGATAATTATGTATGGGAATGCTAAATACTTTTTTGCATTTAACTTCTAAGACCCTTGCTGCCCAGTGGTCAGCTAATACCCGAATTAGGCTCCCCAGTAACACACAGGAAAGTTAGGTACCTGAGGGACTCCCCAAAACCAAGTGTTCCATCTTTGTGACAATCTTGATACATCATTCTTCCATACCCAACTGAGTGCTCTCACCCCTGGGCTGAGTCTCTCTATCCTCTTCCTCTGGCCCACTAAATATTTAATATTTTATACAAAGTGGATCCACTCCAATCAAAGACACTGGGAGACATCCTTCTCAGGATAGCCCACAGCTTGTCTGTTTGATCACTTCTCTGGGATCAAGCAGACAGGATACATCTATACTGTCCCTGTGGTGATCCTAAGAACCAAGCTCTGCCCAGATGCTCCTGGCATACACTAAAAAATGTTCTACAGTTGCTGTTTGGCACATGTCTGGGGAGGCGCTCAGGATCTGAGTCTTGAACTCCCTGAGCAGTGCTCGACATTACTCTAATGGCAACCACACAACATTTGGCATGTGCAAGTGGGTGGGGCTCATTCCTCCATGATGGTTTTGGGCATGCTGCAGAAGCAATATAGGCAAATCCTGAGATTCAGGTACCTATGTCAAAGACTTGAACCTAGGTTTCCCACATGCTCGGGGAATGCTTAATCATGAGGTTACTTGTTTTGACCACTAGGGAACTCTTCAGTGGAGAGGAATACACTCAGTCATACAAATGCCTGCAGGTGAGATAGGTGGGGGAATGCTAGAGAAGGCAGGGTAGCTATGCACCTTAATAAATTAAGTAAGATACAGAGAGAGAACACATGCTTTTCTGAACCCAAGTTCACTTCTGATGATGTGATGAAGTGAATTTGGGTTCATGAAAGGTTATGTTCTCTCTCTATAACTTAGTTAGTTAGTTAATTAGTTTAAGGTGCAAAGCTACCCTGCCTTCTGACTGACTTCAGACTAACGCAGCTAAGTACTTCCCTTGGAGTGCTAGCGAATCATCCTTCATGGCTCCAGCTTGAGCTAGGTTCTGAGCTGGGCTGTTGGCATCAATACACAAGCAGCTTTGCACATGCTCACTTCTACCTAGTTAAGCAGCAGTTAAGTGGTGGTTCTGAGAATATCAGTGTGAACTTAGCCACCCAAGAAGACAGAGAGGTATCAGAGTAATCTTGAGGAGCAGGATCTTAGCTCCTGAATTACTAGGAGTATCTAGTGATTTTTGGTCAGGATACCAGAGCACCCTGGGATGCTACCAGATCCTTTGGAGGGTGCCATCCGGTATCAAGAGAAAAGTGAGGTGTAATGAAATAAAGCAGATAAGCCAGAACCTGCCTTGTCCCTACTCCTTCCCCTCCCCCCCCCCGCATACTGCCCAATCCCTGAGTAGAGATAAGCACTGTGCTATATAAATTCATTTTTGAAATGCCACTCAATTCACAGAAGCTATGCAGGGGTGCTTCAAGTCCAGTAAGGGGTGCCTCAAATCCCCAAAGGGTGAGAACCACTGATCTAGGGATTGGGGGGGAGGGGGAGGGGAAGAAGAGGAACAAAAAACCCTCCCATACATGTATTTTTGGTGTTGAACATGATTCCAGAGATAAATTCACACTGTATGAAAACAGGTGAAAATCTAGGGCAAAAAGTCCACTACAAAAACCTCTAAGACATTTCTTAGCATCACTATATTATTCTGCAAACTATTACATTCCTCAGAATGTGAACTGCAGAGAAAAATTATATGTACAGGAGTAGGGAGCTGATCAGGGAGCCTTTGTACTGCTCAAACATAAATGCAAACTTAAAGGCAGCTGTAAAGCTACTACAGTTGTCTGCAGATCTTGCCAAAGTACCAGATGCTGCTGCAGCAAAAATTCTGACAAGATACAAGAAGACAGATGGTATGATATCACCTGACAATATTCTTAGGACATGAATGTTTATTTTGACATTGCATGTGTGATTATTTTCTCCTTATGCTGCTGTAATTCCTATACTAAGTAGAGTCATTACTAATCTAATTAGATAAAAGGCATATTTTTATGGACTTATAAATGACTAGGCAATATTAGAAACTAGAAAAATTTGTGTTGGAGGATACAGATGGCTTATTATGTAAAATAGTCTTCACGATTAGGATGCATTATATATAAAAGTGATGAAATTAAGTTGCATGGCCACATTTTTCAGCCTACTAGTGACTGGAAAAATCAAGATTAAAATCAAACTTCACTATTGTTTTAGGATGAGTACTCCAGTTCTTGAAGGGCATCAGTACTAAGGAATCTGCCTGTGCCACTGTATTTAAGGGATTTGCATTGAACATGGAGGTAATTATATGCTTTAAATGCTGTAAACCACAGTGGATCAAATCCTGTATTTTCTAAGCATGCAAATGGCATAAAAGTTTACAGAAAACATTCCCGAGATGTTTCATCTGCAGACTCTGCATTATACTACGTGCCCTCGAGATGGCTGTCTCTTCCTGGACTCCTTCCATTAAAAAAATCCTAAATATCTGAAGAATGCAGTAAAACCATGAAAAATGACTGCTGTCAAATAATACCACAAGAAAAATTATAATCCACTTAGGAATTTAAAGGAACCAAGACAAACTGCCAATGTCAAGGGACATTCAGAACAAAGACAAATCACCTATGTTTGTTTTACAGTTTAAAACAGCACTCTCCAAATTACGTGCTTAACTTGTGTGGCTTTGCACACACATGCCATGAAACCAGGGATGGAAGCTGCTACCCTTCCCTCTGATGCATCCTTTTCTCCACAGTGTCTCTAAAGCAAACCCTGAATCTCATGCATGACAAACTATGTCTTCAGCAAAGGCTGTTTGATCTCCATAGCAGGAACTGTGCTGTTACCTGACATGCACAAACTCCTGAGTGTAGGTGTACAAAACTGCCATCCACCACAGAACCAGTTCCTCCACCTAACATGAGGCTGTGTTGTACCCATTAGGCATAGCCCAGGGTAAAAGGAACCGTGCAAGCCGCCCCACCCCACCCCAAAGGAAGCACTGTGAGGCAATCACTTTATATGCATGTCCTGGAGGCCACAGAGTTCACTACAACAGCCCATTACAGGAGGCAGCCTGTTTCCTCCTTCTGCGCATGTTGGTCATGCAGTCATACTTGCACACTCCTTATAAAACTCCATGCCCCTCCAAAGAAGTGGGGAGTGAACAGTCCCTACT